ATATTTAAAGTTGACGAGTGGTAAGTTGTGGTGTGGAAGTACTAACTGCTCGGCTTTGTTTATCAATAGCTGATTTCGTTTTGCTTCATACCGGGGACTGGCCTAAGCGGGAGAAAGAATCGCGAAGTCAACATGCACCGACTGGTAATTTTACAATTCAGAACCAAGTGCTCTAATAATAATTCTATTTAAGCTGCTTGTTAATAATACGAGGAATGTGCGATGTTGAAAAACACGTCGATAGTCCATCACAGTGTTTCTAACAGTAACGATCAAACTAGCGATGCGTCAGCAATTGATAGATTAAACAAAATGATAAAATGTTAGAATCCCCACATTTTCCTCACATACCGCCAATCCCCACAAAATCCCCATTCTAGTTGAAATTCCCCACAATTTGGGGAATTCTCCACAAATTGGCAACGCTGGATACAATAGTCGTAATTCGCGCCCGAGCCGGTTTTTGTTTGTTGACAAATAAATAAACATTGTGAAGTAATTTCGTGTTCTGAAATGATATAAACAATTGATGTGACCGCGTGAACTACTGTACTTGAATGTTGTGTATGTATATTGTGCCGTCTATCAATAGAATATCGTGAAATCATTGCGTGAAATGTGGTTGGCGTGAAGAAATAACCTCAATTTTGTAATGAAAATTTTATTTCTTCCAACATAAGTTAGGTATGTCATTAAAATATTCCTTATATTTATATGGTAGGGAATTTATCTACCTTTCTAGTCATATATAACACGTTCCATATAATTATACAGAATAACGTTTTTTGCGACAAATTGGAACTTTTCAGTTGTTTTTTGACCTAGTGTTTTGAAAAGCTTTTTATTGCATAATACGCTGACTATTCCCTATAACTTTTATGAAGGTTTTGTAATACTGTCAAAAGAAAAAATCGCTTAGAAACTTCCCGTTTTGTAGATAATCATAAAAGATTCATAGGAGTGAATATTCTTCAACAAGATCAACTACACTAAAGCAAGTAAAAATAATCATTTCGTATTCTAAAGTTTTTCTATAGATAAAGCAATAGACAAAATGCTCCCAACAGTGTTTTGAAAAAAGCTCTAAATTCTTATCGTCATTTTTATTTTTAAAGAATGACTATGAAGCAGCCGAGAAAAATTTCTTTTCTTTTTTAAAAGTAAATCTAGTTTGAAATTAGCTTGAAGAAGCCTAGAACTTCTTGGAAATGGTTTGTTTTGTGAGTTATTTTGTATATTTAAACTTTCTATAAATATTTGAAACCAAAAATCGATAACTGTGTTTTTATTAAGTTTATATTTTATACATAAATATTTAAAATTTAGCGAGTGCATTACTTTTATGACAGGTTTTACATCACTTTTCACAGTGTATTTAAAGTCGCGCGTCAATTCACGCTTTCTAACCGATTAAACATTGCGCGAAAAAGTCAGAAATATTATATCTATCGAGTTCTTAGGTTTTCGTGATTGTTACACATAGGAAATGAAACTATTTTTCCGGATTTAAATCGCGTATATTTGTTTTTTCAAACAAACCGACGTTTCGAGCCCTTTACAGGTCCCATGGTCACGGTTGACTCGGTTGACAGTCAATATATATTATATATATACAATACAATATATATTATATATAGTTAGTTTCTCGGACCACAGAGGAGTATTTATATCAGTTTCTCCTTTAATCCAAAAATACATTTCTTCTTAATTTCAAAACGAAAATTTACTCAAACAAATAAAATGATATTCAAATGTGCATTACAAACAATAAATTGGAATGAAATATTTCTTCCTGTTAGTGACAAATGAAAACTACAAAAGATTTAATGACATAATCCAAAAAATACTAAGGAAGTGTATACCAAACAAACTTATCAAAGTAAGCTTCAATGTTCTAACCAAAGAAAAACTATATCACGCCAGGACTAAAAATATCTTGCCGTGACAATTTTTTAAAATCTTTATATCACAGACTAAAAATAAAATAATAAGAAACTATAATAAATGATACTGTAAAATACTTAAAAAAGCGGTATACAAATCTAGAATGAATAATATTAAACATTTTAATTAATCATGTAATAAAGTTAAATCTGTGTGGACAATTATAAATAAAGAAACAAATAAAATTCCGTGTAGTAATAAAAATATAGACCTTAAAATAAATAAGTCACAAATAATAACAGAGCCAAAATTAGTTGCTAATTTATTCAACAATTTATTGCTTCAGTTGGAAACATAAATACTACCAAAAAAGAAACCCCTCACAAACATGCTTTAAAATACATTTTTTCTAAGACAACCAGAAGAAAATGAAGTAAAACAAATTATAACAAAACTTAAAAAATAATTCTTCAATGGGAATATATGAAATTCCTCCTACTTTAATAAAAAAAATGTATTCACGAATTGGTAACACCATATACCAAACTCATTGGTCAATTCCCAGATTCCTATAGAGCTCAGTTCCCAGATTTTCTAAAAATATTGATCAAACCCATACTCAAAAAAGGTGACGCCACAGACTCAAGCAATTATCGCCCGATTGCATTGCTACCTATTTCGGCAAAAATATTTGCAACTGCGATGGCAAACCGTCTTTACTCGTTTTTCTACGTATTTCATAAAAACCAACACGGTTTTAGATAAAAACATTCGAAGACGAATATGTCCAAAAAATTCTTGACGCGATAAACAATAGCAAGTACGCAGTAGGTCTTTTATTGGATATGAGTAAGGCGTATGATAGAGTTTGTAATAGCACGTTATTGGATAAATTATATGGAACTGGTATTAGAGGTACAACGCACAAATGGCTTAAATCCTACCTCGAACATCGTAGACAATATGTTGAGATAGAAACTACTAACTTTAACACGGGAAAGATGGAAGTGTCAGATCCGAAGAAGTATTCATAAAGGGCTCTATCCCACAGGGTAGCGTATTAGGGTATTTATTAGCGTATTTGTAATTTACGTTAATGACCTCCTCTAAAAACTTAATGACCATTGCACTCTTTTTGCGGACGACATCTCAAATATAGTACTCTGTTCTAATACTAATGGATTAAACAAGAAATTGGACTTTACCTTGGACAAAATCCTAAATTGGCTAGAAATTCGTAGCTTAAAATTAAACTTAAATAAAATTAAATTAATACAATTTAAGCCCTCTCAAAAAGCTCCCCTGCCTCTGAACTATAGTTATAATAATTAGACATTAACTAGTGCTGACACTGCTACTCTATTGGGGATCGATCTCGAATATGCAATGGAAACCGTTTATCCGTAATCTGACCAACAAGTTGTCATCTTTCATATACGCCCTACGTCATTTAGGGAGGTTTTATAGTCACGCGTTTCGGCAGCGCCGTCGGAGCGCGCGAGTTCGGATATATGGGGGTAGTTAGTAGCGTTTCAAACTCGCGCGGTTGGGCAGCGCCGTTCGTTGAACGCGTCCTATTCGCGCGGCGCGGTCGAACCGCGCGCCGCTCGTGCGCTTCTACGGCCATTGTGCGTTTTAGTCTGACGCCGTTGAGACGCGCCGTTAGGTTCTGTTGTGTACAAAATGAATTACATCGATACGGGACGAGTAATTGACGAAGTGCGAATTAGAAGATGTTTATGGGACCCGGCCGATGATTTTTAGACCATTTAGACCATTTTAACTAAAATAGGTTTAATCAGCATTTATGAATAAGTGTGTTAGGTTGTAATTAAAATACGACTGTGATTAAAATAAGCCAAACAAATATTATCATTTATTACAAAACCTACTCTTTTATTTCACTTACCTTAGAGTAATCGCCAATTTTTCCACTGGAGCTATGGGGATGCGACGTATGCTGGATCTTCGTAAAGAAAACTCTAACTTGCACAGTAATTCGTCGAAAGTGCTGGTTGATAGGCGAAAATATTTATAAAATTTATAACTATTTTCTCGTAAATCAGAGAAAGATGTTACGTGTTCGCCTCTCAGTAACCTTGTAGCGTTATAAGGATCAACACCTACTGTTCTTCGACGTTGTTGTTGCCTTTTTTTCCATAAAAAGTAAATAGCCAGTACTCTAACCGCATTGCCGTTCATTTTGTACACGACTGTCTCACAGCAGCTAAACGCGCCGTACTAATGTCGTTTTATAGTGCACCGCTGTTCAAACGCGCGCTGTCCAACAGCGCGCTACCCAACGGCGCGTCTAGCCGCGTGACTATAAAACCAGCCTTAAAGCGCGTAAGTGATTTTAAATCAGCTCTTACGGCATACTATCCGTACTGTCATTCAAGGTGGTCATTACATGGGGAAACTCTACTAACGTAAATGATGTATTTGTACTACAGAAAAAGTGTCTTAGGATATTGACAAATACAGAACAGATTACAGATTAGGCATATTAACTTTAACAGGTATTTATGTACTTGGGTCGTGCAAATTTATTAGAAACCATCCCACTTTATTTACTCCGAAAATTGAAATTAAACATAACAACAGAAAGCTGCATCAACTACCTGTACGATTTTCTAAATTTAAATTAGTTTGTTCTGGGCCGCAAATTAAGTTAACAAAAATTTATTATCACATACCAATTTATATTAAAGAAATTCAAGAATTTAAAATTTTCCCCAAACTTCTAAAAGAATTCCTCATAAATAGAAGTTATTAAAATATTAAAGATTTTTTCAATGACAAAATATAATTTATTATGTAATTAATTTGTTTGTTCTCAATTTATCTTATGTATGATGTATGTATGTATAATTATAATGATTTATTTAATATGATAACAATTTTATTGCTTTTATAATGAGTAAATGCCCTCGTCACTTTGCTTGCCCTTGCAGAGTATCACATGTACATTTTCAAGGCACTGTACTTAATATAAGTGTGGCATTGTCACACAATAAAAATAAAAAAATAAATGAAATTAAATGAAATGAAATTTGGCACAAGCCAAAGCATTTCCCACAAATTACTTTTTGATTATATTTAAATGCAAAATAGACGAGCTCAGCTCTTGATCACAATCCCACCCGACTTAGCTGTATTGAAGAGAGTGAGATAGGTATTTCAACATGTACAATATCGCCAAGGATGGCGACGGGGAAGGCGAGGGCAGCGGGACGCCGCTATTGGCCGTGCTGGGGCCGGGTGCCAGCGCCGCCGCCGCGCAGGTACAGAACTTGCTGCAGCTGTTCTCTATCCCACAGGTAGGTGCGGGACGTACCCTCCTTCTACCTTTGATTCACATCCGAAGCGAGAGTGCACGCCTGTTAACGTTTCAGGTGTCGTACTCGGCGACGTCGCGGGAGCTGTCCGACCGTGCGCGCTTTTCGACTTTCTTCCGTGTGGTTCCTTCGGACCGACACCAGGCGCGGTTGCTAGTGGCGTTATTGCGAGCTCACAACTGGACCTACGTGCACGCATTGCACACAGACGGTAAGCGCGGCGGCCGCGGGTCGGAGAGAGACGAGACGGGGCTGGTCGATGACGCGCGCTTCCCGCAGAGAGCTACGGGCAGAGCGGCATGGCGGCGTTCCGCGAGGAAGCGATGCGCGGCGGCGTGTGCGTGGCGCGCGAGGAGCCGCTGCGCGCGTCGCCGGCCGACAGAGACGTGGACGCGGCGCTGGCGCGGCTGCTGGGCGGCGGGGGCCCGCAGGTGGCCGTCTGCTGGTGCGAGGGCCGCACGGCGCGCGCCTTGCTGGCGGGACTGGCGCGGCGGGGCGCCGCCCCCGCGCTGCGCCTGCTGGCCAGTGACGGCTGGGCCGACCGCCACGACGTGGTTGCGGGCCTGGAAGCGGCCGCGGCGGGCGCGCTCACGCTCCGCATTCGTGCCCCCTACCTGCGCCACTTCGACGCCCACTACCATGCGCTGCGCCCCGACTCTAACCTCCGGAACCCTTGGTTCAGGGTCCGTGATTTTTTTTACCTTAGCGAATTATCTATTTATGTTTCCCCTAAAAGAACCGTGCTCGGCCTAAGCCCTTCGAGCGCTTTAGTAAGAGTAGAACTCCTTGCGAAAGAGTTCGTCCTGGGAAGTGCTACTTTTAGGTTTTTCTCTTGTATAATAAATTACTTCATAGTGTAGGTTACTTATTATACAAGAGAGTAATCCGTTTATCTCTTTCAGATAGTTTCTACGTAAGTATGACATTTTAAAATAAAATAAATAGTATATATGAGATATGTCACGAAGCATCTTTTTCAAAAAGAGCGCTTCTAGAGTGTCTTGCTCGTTCTTCTGAGAGGATTCTGCCTTACGTTTAAATACTTCTAGTAGTGTTTAATCAGTGCGACGATTTCAAGTGTAGTTTGCTGACCCATGAAACAAAGATAAAGAGACAGGACATTACCTAATCATAAAGGCGAACAACTGAATTAGTACAGTAAAGTCGAGAAATATCCACACATAAATAATGAACAAAATCGCCAATTATGGTGCATGTTGAATTAATTACACCGGATTCAATGGTCTACTTTTTATTAAAGCAAATACAAAGAATTTCCTGGGACTTGTTTACATCGCTAAGGCAAAATAATGCATATTAATCAAAAGGTTATTAAAGCCTCTTGTTCATAAAAACAAGAAACCACACTTTATATATCTGTCTCGGTCACTCCCCCTGCAACTTAACCTGAGCTTCTCGGAGTAGTCGCCGTTTCGTATTTTTGTGTGGGTTTTTGATACGAACTACATTTTAGTTAAAAAATATTAACCAATTCCACACATGAAATCTCGAACTATTGAGATTTCATGTGTGGAATTGGATCAGTTTGTCGTCTTATGTGTATATAGGCCCCCCTCTGCTAATTTAACGAGAAAAAAAACGAGTTGGAATTAATTATGGAAGACAGTTTAAAGCGGATTTTTCCAATAAAAAAAACGTAGTAATATGTGGAGATTTCAATGTAAACCTGTTGGAAAACACTTTCGTTCGTTCACGTTCGGTCACGTTCTACTTCTGTAAGACTCATTAATTTATTTAAAAGTTTTAACTTGATTAATCTTTTCTTAGAACCAACTCGCATCACTGCCTCCTCTTCTACTTGTATTGATAACATCTTTTGTAACACCGACGCAGTGTCTAAATCAATAATAAATTGCTTAAGATCAGACCATAGAGGCCAATTGGCTTCTTTTAATTGTAAAATGAGCAAGAAGGTAGACCAATTTCTCTGCAGACCGATTACCACAGAACGAATCATTAGATTTCAAAATAATATCGGCAATAGTTTAAATTCCCTACCCCATATACCGGAAGTTCCAAAAACTTTATATAGCACGATATTTGGTTTAATGAAAAATGAATTTGATAATATATTTAAATCAAAAACATTAACTTTCCATAGAGAGACTAAATTTAACGACTGGGCAACAGTAGGTATTCATAAGAATAGGTCTCGTTTGTATGAGCTATATGCTATGAAAACTTATAATACTAATTCCAATTTCATAGAATATGTTAGAATTTATTCAAAAATATTTAAAAAAGTATGTGTAGCTGCTAAGGTTAAGTTTCACAGCGACAAAATTAGACAATCGGTAAATAAATCTAAAACTACTTGGAGCATAATAAATAAAGAGTCAGGCAGGGTTAAACAACACGACAGAGATATAGTTTTAGAATTAGACAGTAAACTTATAAAATCTAAAGATAAAGTAGACTAAGCTTTTGAATCGTTCTTTTCGGAAATTGCTGTGAACATTACAAAATCATTAAATTCCTCCCCTTCACTAGCTATTGATCTCCTAAAGGAAAATTTTAACGTTTGTGGCAGTTTATTTAATTTCCGTCATGTTAATCCACAAGATATCATAAAATCAGTACATGTTAAAAAAACTGAATATCTCTGGGACATATCAACTAAAGTTATAGACTCAGTTATTTATCTAATATCCCCACATTTAGCTGTACCTTTCAATAGGTGCGTTGACGAAGGTGTTTTTCCCGATTTAATGAAATACAGCAAGGTTATTCCCTTATTCAAAAGCGGTAGGAAAGTTGATCCTAGCAACTATAGGCCCATTTCAATTTTACCAGCTTTAAGTAAAATATTCGAAAAGGTTATGCTGACTCAATTACTGTCCTATTTCGGTAGGAATCATATTTTTCATAGTGAACAATACGGGTTTACTAGTGGTAGATCGACTAGTGATGCGGGGGTAGCGTTACTAAAACATATCTTTGATGCTTGGGAAAGGTCCCAGAACGCTATTGGTGTTTTCTGTGGCCTCTTAAAGGCATTTGATTGCGTTGATCATATTACTCTTATTAGGAAGCTGGAACATTATAGTGTAAATGGCAAGGCGTCGAAACTTGTCTCGTCATATCTCAACGGTAGAATTCAGAAAGTAGACATAAATGGTGTGACTTCTTTGGGTTCTCCGGTAAAAATGGGTATTCCGCGGGGCTCAATACTTGGGCCTTTCTTATTTCTGATTTATATGAATGATCTGCCATTCTTTGTTAAGGACCATTGGGAAATAGTGTTGTTTGCTGATGACACATCCTTGATTTTTAAAACAGACAGACATGACGTTAACTATGACCATATTAATGATACCCTCTCTAAGGTAGTTTATTGGTTTAATGCTAACAATTTATTGCTTAATGCCAAGAAGACAAAATGTGTTAAATTTGAATTACCTAACGTAAAATCAACTAGTCCAAGCATAGAAATAAACGGAGAAAAGTTAGACTTTGTTAATAAATCAGTTTTCCTGGGAGTGACCTTAGATAGTAAACTTCAATGGTTTCCACATATATCTTCCCTGGCCAGTAGATTAAGCTCCGCTGCATATGCAGTCCGCAGAATACGTGAGCTTACCGATGTTAGTACTGCTAGACTAGTTTACTTTAAATACTTCCATAGTATAATGTCCTACGGGATTCAAACCATATTTGTATTGCAAAAACGAGCGATTCGTTCTGTGTACCGTCTAGGCTCTCGGGTTTCTCTCAGATAAAAGTTTAAGGAGACTGGTATCATGACTCATCACAGTACATTTACTCAAATATTTTATATGCCCGTAAAAATAGACACAATTTCAATAAGAAAGAAGATATCCATAATATTAACCTTAGAGCGAAGTCTAAACTCACGGTACCACGATTTCGTTTAACCAAGGTAAACAACACTTTTATGGGGAACTGTATACGTTTTTACAATACGATTCCGGAGCATATATTAAGTTTATCATTACCTAAGTTTAAAAACTACATTAAAAATATTTTGATCGAAAAATCATA